GAACCGAACAACAAGTACATACCAGGGAACAAAACGAGTACATAGCACACACCGTGTAAATGTTGATGATGTCATATGGGACAAAGCGAATCATATTTTTAACAATCCTATACAATGCAACGAAGCAGGATACATAGTATACCCTATACGACGCTGGAACGTGCACAAATGAAATAAAGGGGCAGCTAGTATGTAACTTCAAATAAAACATTTTAGCTTTAGGTCATGATGAATAAAACTTGATAATTAACAATATCTGATTGCTATTCGGATAAATGTGACATCTGGAATTTATTGCGATGAGAAGATTGAATCTTGTCGCCATTAAAAAATCACTATAATAGTGTCATAGATCTGAAAACTACAATCCCTAAATCTACAAACACTAATTTTATTGAGCGGATGCAATAAACACTTGGGAGAGCGAGAACGAGTTTAAGCGACTATAAAAGGCCACTTGCGTGGTGGCTCATATCGAAAGACCATTAGATGAGGCAACTCTTTGAGGGAAGAAACAATAAATATAAAGGTCAAGCGAGGCAAAGCACTCAGCAATAGTGAATCACATTAAAGTAGCCGCATGATAACAAACGCGTGTGGAAAGATATAATTCGAAACCCATATAGAGCTTGAATAACCAGTAACTGGGGATGGGAATCTGGGAAGTAAACATTCAACAATAGACATCTGTGCACAACTGAGAATTGGATGTACAATGAAGCAGATCTGAATGATTCAAGGAGAAGCTATAAGCACATATCTATTTTGATGCAAAAGCTATTTCTTCTTTGCTTTTTCAACAGACTGTTTTCGCTTTGTCTCGTAAGCTTCAATATCAGCATCGGTGAGGCCAGACTGTTCATTTACGGATTTCCAATGCGTAAAAGCGCTGAAAGCTTTGATTATGAAGAGAAATATGTTACATTTCAATTAATGCGATACCTGCACTCTAGTGGATTTGTCCATGTCGGTTGTAAAGCTTCTACAGACACGTCGCTAATGGAATTGCTGCTCCTAATGCTGAAATAAAAATGTATTATGCACAAAACCTATATTTGAATACCTAAGCTATTTAGGTTGACATAAATATCATACCCTGAAAACTTCGCTCATAATCATCTAACCTTCTCATTAATGGCGGAAAAAGATAGTCCACAGTTTCTGTTGCCATTGATGAATAACTGCTCACGTAGCCAACAGAATCTGACCGTCGTACACGTCCTGATGGATCAATTATAAGTATCCGAGCTGGCATGATGCCAACAGCACGATATGATGTAACATCCTAAAATAAGGGCTATTATGACTAATAGCATACCGAGCACACAAAAGATGGACAAGCATGAACACTACCGTTTCTCGGTTGCCGAAACCAGCAAAGAAAGGCTGTTTGACGGGGAAAAGTTTCTTCAAGTCAGTCAAAGCAGCGATTTTGAATTCTTCAGGGCGGCGTTCGATTACTTCCCTAAAAAGGAAAACTTGAGGCATAACTGGTACATAGCCTGGTTTATTCATTTGAAACAGGAAAATGCGGTTCTAGAAAAAAATCGAAAAGAAGAACGATACCTTCTGAACGCAATCAATACACTCGTCGGTGATAACAATACTGGTCCATCTGGTAACTGTTTGGAGTCTTGTGCAATACTTTTCAGATATTGTTTGGTAGTGTGACTTTGACCTATAGCTCGGGATGAAAGATAAACCATCTTGTAGCTGAAAAAAAA